GAGAGAGAGGGAGAGAGAGAGAGAGAGAGAGGTGGAGACTGCCTCCAAATCCCAGATGACAGCATCTCTGAACTGGAAGGGGGCTGCCCTGTTCAAACAAGCATCACCTTCCCAATATAGCCCCAAAGGGATCATCCAGCCTTTGCCTGAAGCCCTCCAGCAAGGGGGGGGTGCACCTCCTCCCCAGGGAGCCCATTACTCTTTTGCACAGCTCTTATTGTTGGGCAATATTTCCTGCCGTCCAGCCTCAGGCCACCTCTCTGCAGCTTTCCCTTACTGCTCGAGGCTCTGCCCTGTGTGCCCAAACTGAACACATCTAACCCTTCTTCTCCAGGACAGCTCTCCCTGCATGGCAACCTCTGTGTCCCCATGAGAATCTTTCTTCTGTAGGTCATCCATGTCCTTCCTAAAGGTCAGCTGCCCCAATTGACCCCACTAACCCAAATGTGGTCTGCTCAAGGCAGAGGACAGAGGGCCTGCTACCTCCCTAGTTAGTCCTGGGGACTATGCTTCAGTTGCTTGGTTGCCCTACTCGGCACCCACTAAAACTTCCCGATACCTGGCCCCACTTCCCCAAGCTTGTATTTGTGAAATGGATTTTTTGAACCCAGGTCAGATGCATTTTTTCCCTTTAGATTTCACCTTATTCCATTTGGTTGTGTGTTCTTGCCCGATGAGATATTGTTGGAACCAAACTCTGCTGTCTAGTGTGTTGGCTCTGTAGGCTGGCTTTTTGTCCTCGGAAAGTTTGAGGAGTGTACCATTAGTGACTTGGATAAAGGCATCGATTTTAAATAGCACATGGCCAAGCACAGATGCCTGGGACACTCCTTTAGAAACTCCCTTCTAAGAACCTTTAATTATTACTCTGGGTCCCACCATTCACCTAGCTCCTAATTCAGCTAACTCTCCTGTAAGCTGGCCCATGGCTCTCCATGCTATCTATAAAAATAGCATGAGAAACTTAGGAAAACTGCTTTGCTACAATCTACGTAAACTATGGTTATGGAACTTCCTTCATCTACTAGTCTGGTCATCCTGTCGAAATAGGAAATGAGGTTAGCCTGGCATGATCCATTCCTGATGAAGCCAGGCTGGATCTTTGGCCTCACTGCTTCCTTTTTGCTCATGAAAAAACACAGGGTCACACAACTCGTGACTTTCCAGGGTCACACAACTAGTGAATGTCTGGGGCAGGATTTGAACCCAGGTTCTCATGACTCCAGATGTTCCCTAACCGTTACTTTGAGCAGATTTGTTAGAATTTTTCCAGGAATCAAAATCAAGTCATGGAGTCAGAGAAAGAGGCAGAAGGAACAGAGAAAACACAAAGAAAATGAGGGTAAGAGAGAAACAGACAATTTAGAGAAAGACAGAAGAAATAAATCAAGTACTCATTTATTCATTTACTCAAGAAACTAACCTGGTGATTTCTTTGAGGTCAATTTCTGCTACGATGTCTTCCCCGAGTTTCCCAGTGAACATGATCTCACTATCCTCATACTTTTTATCAGAACCTTTTCTTTGCACATCAACTCAATGAAACTCAACATACATTTATTAAACACTGATTATGTTAGAGATGGCATGGTATGGTGGGAAAAACACTAGACTAGAGAAACAAGAGTTTAAATCCTGGCTTCACTTATGAGCCATGTGACTTCAGGAAAGCCTATTAACCTCCCAGCATCAGTTTCTTTATCTGTAAAAGGGGGCACCTACCCTACAGACAGTGTTTAGGGGTAGCTACCTACGGTAGCAAACACTTAAAAAACTTTAAAGCCCTATAGAAATGGAAATTGGGCCTACTGTGTGCCATGATCTGTGTTCTGTGCCAGGGAGATAAAGATGAAAACCAGATAGTCCCTGTCCTCCAGTCGCTTCCATTCTACTAGGGTGCTATACCATATACACAGATAAGTATAACCCAAGGGAGGGCATGAGGGGGCAAAAGGGAGGTCCAAATGGAGTGCTGCTTGGAGGAGAGATCAAATACTTCCTGGTCATGGAATCAGGGCAGACTTCATGGAGGAGCTGGCATCTGAAAGGAACTCTAATGGAAGATGAGGATTTCACCAGGCAGAGGTGAAGAGGTTGTCCAGGTGTAGGGGACAGCTGCCTTTTCAGGAGTCTGGATGAAGCTAGTTTGTGAAGAGAGGAAATAGAAAATGAAGCTAAGAGTTTACATTTTATTTCTGAGGCAACAGGGAGCTAGTAAAGGTTGTTGAGGAGGGAAAAGACATGATCCTTGCCTTCGGAGGATTATAGGAAGACCCTGCAAACAAGGGACTTTGTTTAAGAGGTTATTACAATAGTCCAGAGGAGAAGCGATGAAAGCTGTAACTTGTGGGGGGGCTTTGTGAGTGGATAGAAGGGAACAGATGTAAGAGATACTCAGAGGTAGAATGAATACGACTTGGCAAATGGGCAGCTGTGCCCATCACAGAGTAAGTGCTTGATAAACGTTAGTCAAATTCACTTGGTCCTGGGCAGAGGAGGGAGAGGGAAGAGTCAAAGATGAAGCCAAGTTTGCATACCTAGGTTCCTGGAGCAATGTTGGTAGCTGCTGCCAAGACAGAGAAATTCAGTGTAGCACATGTTGAGTTCATCGTGTCAGTGAGCTGATGATCAACAGGATGTTGGGGGTGTGAGAGTGGAACTCAGGACTTCGGCTTGACGGCACAGACCCGCGAGTCAACTGCCTAGAAGTGGTGGGTGAAGCCAAAGGTAAGATCACTGAGGAAGGGAGTGTAAAGAGAGAGGAGGACCCAGGACAGAGACTAGGGAGATGCCCAACTTAGGTCCCCTTCGAATCATGTGCTTGTCCTCCCCGTATTCAGACTGCAAGCACCTTGAGTCTGGGTCATGGCCAGCCTTTTCACCCTAGCATGGAGCTCAGGGTCTTGCCAATAGGAGGCAACTGCTGGATGTTTGGGTTGAATTGAACTGAATTATTGCTTGAGTATGCTGCATGCCTTTGTCTTCCTGGGTGGCTGGAGTGTTGGACTTGGAGTCAGGAATACTGAGGTTTAATCTCATCTCTAATACTCACTAGGAGAACTTGGGCAAGATAGTTTACCTCCCTGGCCCTCAGTTTGGTCAAGTGAGGGAGCTGGACCAGCTGACCTCTAAAGAGCCTTCCCTAGCTAGGATCTTATGATCCTGGGGGTGAGGTCAAGGGAATATGGGTTGACATTCAATCCTGGCTTCCTTTACCTGTATCTGAAGCATTTCACTAGAGCAGTGGAAAAGCTAAGAACAGAGTTTTCCTGTGTTATTGGCTCCTTCATCAGCTCCCCAGTTCACATCAACCATTAGGCTCTCCTCGAGCCTGCAAAGGGAATCCCTAGACTCTCTCTGGGGTTCTTAGGACCAGGGATTAGAGAAGTGGGGAGAGTTAGACAAGGACAAGACACATCTTAGATTTCTTCTTCACTTTTTTGGGGGAGGGGAGGGACTGGGCAAGGTGGGGTGGGGTGGGGAGAGAATACGTGGGTAAATATGGTACTTCAAGTTGGAAGCCTGTGATTTGCAGACTGCAATAGCCCATAACTGCAGGGCCAGCCCAGAGAGCTGCTGAGTCATTCAGTTGGGCCCTCTAATTTGGGGGTAGCTCCCAGACCAACCAGGGCAGCGCCCAGGCTCTGGACCATTCATTCCCTGCCCCTCCTCAGAGTGGACCTGTCTTGGTCACTACTCTCTGCTCTGCTGAACCAACTACCCTGTGGTAGAACCCAGGAGCCCAGCAGCAGCTTCCCATTCTCCCTCCCCTTCAGTGGGAGGAAGGAGGGAGGAGGAGGTAGAAGAGGGAAGATCTGGGAGGAAGGAAAGAGGGATTATTATCTGGGATGCTAACTGGGGGCTGAAGAAGCCAAACAGACAGAGATCTCTCAACTCAGTCAGTTAGCTAACATTTAGTAAAACACCTAAAATGTGCTAGGCACTGTGCTGGTAACGCTGAGATGCACAGGAAAACTATCCTTGAATTTCAAGAGCTTCCTTTGCATCAGGAGAAAAACCATGTACATGGATAAGCATATACAAAAGTGAGGGAGGGCAGTGAGGGCCTGAACTAGAGTGGTGATGATGGGGCTGGAGAGAAGGAAGAGATGTAGATGTTGAAACCACAGGATTTGGGAACTGATTGGCTGTGTGGGGGAGGGAGAGGGAGGAGCTGAGGATGACTCTTAGTTCGTGAACCTGGGAGACTGGGAGGATGGCAGTGTCATTGACAGACACAGGGAAGTTTGGGAGAAAGTGTTGGGGGACAAGATAATGAGTTCTAATGAGGACCTGTTGAGTTGGAGATGTCCACAGGACATCTAGGTGGAAATGAATGGACGAATAAATGAAGAGCACTGTGCCAGCCTCAGTCCCTGCTCTCAAAGAGCTAACATTCCAATAGGGGAGACGACCCAAAAAGGAGGCTTCAGTGGCAGGGATGATAGAAAGACCCAGTGGTCCTTG